CCAGGAGTTTGAGACCAGCCTGGGCAACATGGTGTAACTGTTGTCTTTACTAAAAAATATAAATATTAGCTGGCGTGGTGGCACACGCCTGTAATCGCAGCTATTGGGGAGGCTGAGGCATGAGAATCCTGGAGGTGGAGGTTGCGGTAAGCTGAGACCGACCACTGAACTCCATCCGGTTGGGCCTGTCTCCAAAAAGGGAACAAAGACAGCAAGCCGCACATGATTAAAAGTGTAATCTGAGGCCGGGTGTGGTGTGGTGGCTCATATCTGTAATCCCAGCACTTCGGGAAGCCAAGGCAGTTGAATCACTTGAACCCAGGAGTTTGATACCAGCCTGGGCAACATAAGGGCCTTGTTGCCACAAAAATAAATAAAATAAAATAAAATAAAATAATTAAAATAAAAGTGCAATCTACTCCCACCTCTCTTTTAAAATTTTCTTTTTTTTTTTTTTTTGAGATGGAATTTTGCTCTTGTTGCCCAGGCTGTAGTGCAATGATGCAATCTCAGCTCACTGCAACCTCCACCTCCTGGGTTCAAGCAATTCTCCTGCCTCAGCCTCCCGAGTAGCTGGGATTGCATCTTCTTCTTCTTCTTTTTTTTTATTTTAATACAGACAGGGTCTTGCTATGTTGCCCAGGCTGATCGCAAACTCCTGGCCTCAAGTGAGCCTCCCACCTTGGCCCCCCAAAGTGCTGGGATTATAGGCATGAGCAACCATGTCCCACCCTCCCAACCCTCCTGAACCGCCCACTCTAGTTCAGACTACCAGACAAGAGTTTTCCAAGAAGGAGATCGCTGGGAAATTAGATAACAGCCTCTACACTATCTTCCTGTCTCAGTCTCTCCTCTCTAGCCCAATGACACATTGCCACAGCAAGTTTACTGAAAGCCAATGTTCTGCCTTCAATAACTTAGCTACAGCTATAGACTGAAGTGCTAACTTTTTGGACAAACATGGCCCTTCAGAGTCTGGTGCTAGCTGATCCATCCAGACGGGCCCTGGCTCCGGGCTACCAACAAGAGTTCTTCCAGCTACGGCAGGGCCACAGGTCACAGCATTTTTTCCTCCACCTACATAGTTGGGTCTGATCCACTAGAGCCACTGCTCCTCTCAGAGGCTTTCTCTGCACTCCAGTCTAGGGTGAGGTCCCAGCACCCACTCCCTTGGCACTCAGTCACAGGAAGCAATGCCACCTGACATGGCTTGCTCTCATGTACCTGGCTGGAACTAAGATGATTTCCATTAAAAGTTTTTTTTTTTCCTTTTTTCTTTTTGAGACATGGTTTCACTTTGTCCCCCAGGCTGGAGGGCAGTGGTGCAATTTTGGCTCATGGCAGCCTCCAACTCCCGGCTCAAGCAATTCACCCACTTCAGCTTCCCAAGTACCTGGGACTACAGGCATGCACCACTATGCCTGGCTAATTTTGCTTTTGTTTTTTGTAGAGACTTCAAGGTCTCACTATGTTGCCCAGGCTGATCTTGAACTCCTGGACTCAACTGATCCTCCCACCTGAGCCTCCCCCAGTGGTGGGATTACAGGAGTAAGCCACCACATTCAGCTAGGTTTTTCTTGCAGAGGAAACTTTACATCTTTTTAATCTTTTCCATCTTTCCATGCCAGAGGATCTCAGCAGGGGACAATATTGCCCTCCAAGGGACATTTATGACATCTAGAGATACTTTGGATTGTTATGACTGGGGGGCTGCTATTGGTATCCAGGGGATAGAGGCCATGGATACTGCTAAACATCCTACAGTGACCAGGTGTGGTACCTCACACCTGTAATCCCAACACTTTGGGAAGCCGAGATGGGAGGTCAGGAGTTGAGGTCAGGGGTTGAATACCAGCCTGGGCAATATAGTGAGACCCCATTTCTACAAAACAAAAGAGTTAGCCAGGCATGGTGGCTAACTTTACTCAGGAGGCTGAAGCAGGAGAATGGCTTCAGCTCGGCACTTCGAGGCTGCAGTGAGCTATGATCACACCATTGTACTCCAGCTGAGACAACACAGTGAGACCTTGTCTCAAAAATAAAAACAAAATCCTACAGTGCACAGGACAGTCTCCACAACAAAGGACTATCCATCCCAAAAGTCAACAGTGCCGAGGCTTAGAAACCTTTTATTAAAGTAACAAGTAGCAGATAGAACAGAACGGTTTCCCTTCTCTTGGTAATGCCAGCAAACAGTGAAATACCTGACCTAAGTGCTGAAGAGAGGACAAAGATTTACTCAGGACCTGAAGAACCATCAAGTGACATTATCAAAGGGAGTCACTCACTCCTGCTTTGGGTTCACCCAGTAATATGCTAGATGGCAATCTGGCAGTCCCAGTTGCCACAGAATGGCAGGATATGCAGCAAAGACTGTTCTCTGCTGCTGACTCTCAGTTACGGGGCAGCTGGCTGAAGGACACAGATGCACCCGAAGGCAGCTTGACTACCCTGCATGTGGCAAGCTGAGCCAGGAAAACCAGTAAGACTGCTCACACAGCAAACACGTCCTGAGCACCGTCCTGCCTGGACCTGTGCTAGCATTGGGGACATGAAAGAATGACAAAGTGGCCCTCCTTGAGATGCTCCCAGTCTAGTGGGGACATAGAGTAGTAAATAATCATTGATCTTCGCAATTGGCTTGGCTGATCTAACTTCCGTTTTCCTTTAAAAATCCTTCAGGGAAGGGAGAAAAACAATAAAATAGAAAATAAAGAGGTGGAGCTCCACTGCTGATTAAAATCTATATTGCTATGGCAGCCCCTATGAGACAGGATCAGCTCCTGGGTTTGCACCAGCTGGGCTTCTGGAGCTTGTAAATAATTAAAAGGTAATTGGAAGGGGAGACCAAAGTATTAAGTGGATTTCTCTCTCTCAGGGCAAACAGGGAGGTTTCATTGCAGCAAGTTACATTATCTTTCAGGATTATATATATACATATATATTTTTGAGATGAAGTCTCACTCTGTTGCTAGGCTGGAGTACAGTGGTGCAATCACTGCAACATCCGCCTCCCAGGTTCAAACGATTCTCCTGTCTCAGCCTCTCGAGTAGCTGGGAATATAGGCACACGGCACCATGCCCAGCTAATTTTCATATTTTTAGTAAAGACAGGGTTTCACCATGTTGGCCAGGATGGTCTCGATCTCTTGACCTTGTGATCCACCTGCCTCAGCCTCCCAAAGTGCTGGGATCACAGGTGTGAGCCACTGCGCCTGGCCTCAAGAATATATTCTTAGTTTTTTACGGACACATGCAGTTCCAGGTAACAGTTGGAGGAGTTAAACTAATTAGGGCTGCTCAGACTGCTTTGATGGGCTTAGAGATTGGGGAAAATCAAGATTCAAAAACTTTCAATTGCCTTTTTAAGCAAAGCAGCAGTAACAGGCATGCTACCAAGAAGGCAATAAAGCTTCCAAAGGTAAAGGGGTGGGAGGGAGGAGGGAAAGAGAGAGAGAGAGAGAGAGAGAGAGAGAGACACACACACACACACACACACACACACACACACACACACACACAGAGACTTCTTAGGTCTCAATAAAGTTGTTGACATGGGCACCAAGGGATGCATGATCAGATAAAACAGGATCCTGGGAAGAGGCTACTGGGAGTAGCTCTCTGCTATGGTTTTGTCCTGAGGGTGATGAAGGTGGAGCCACACAGGTTGCTGAAGGCCTTCTCCTAGAGAGGCCAGGGTGCTGGCCGTGCGTTCTGAGGGCTGGCCTGGCTGCTGAACCCATTGCTATGACTGAATACAAAGCCAGAAGTTGAGTCACTCAGCTCAAAACTCAGTCATGCCATAGTCTACAGTGGAGATGGCTCTTGGGGATGTGAGGGGAGGAGAGAAGAAAAGAGAACTGAGAGGGTGCATTAGAAAGCAGATGCCAGCTGGGCGCAGTGGCTCATGCCTGTAATCCCAGCACTTTGGGAGGCCAAGGCAGGCGGATCACTTGAGGTCAAGAGTTTGAGACCAGATTGGCCAACATGGTGAAACGCCGTCTCTAAGGGGAAGAAAAAAAAAAAAATCAGCCAATGTAGCAGTGTGTGCCTGTAGTCCCAGCTACTCGGGAGGCTGAGGCACGAGAATCGTTTGAACCTGGAAAGTGGAGACTTCTCAGATCACACCATGGCACTCCAGCCTGGACAACAAAGTGAGACTCCATCTCAAAAAGAAAAAAGGCTGGGTGCGGTGGCTCACACCCGTAATCCCAGCACTTTGGGAGGCCGAAGTGAGCAGAAGTTTGTGACAAGCCTGATCAATATGATGAAACCCTATCTCTACTAAAAATACAAAAATTAGCCAGGTGTAGTGGCATGCACCTGTAGTCCCAGCTACTCAGGAGGCTGAGACAGGAGAATCGCTTGAACCCAGGAGGTGGAGGTTGCAGTGAGCCAAGATCGCACCATTGTACTCCAGCCTGGGCAACAAGAGTGAAACTCCATCCCCCTACTCCACCCCCCACCAAAAAAAAGCAGATGCCTATGTACCTTACTGTTCAACTGCAGGAATGTTCTAACCAAATCAGCAGATGCAAACATCGAAAACCAATGGGTAAGAAGAAAGAGTTGGCCTTTCCTTTCCAAAACATCCGGAGGGGCCTCTATTCTTTCACTTACCTTTCTTGGTCTCTATGAGACTAGATATGCCAATAAGAAGCCCACACGATAGATTAAGTGAAGTCCAGGGTAGCTATAAGGCTTAAAAAAGGCATATTTGAATTTGAAGCGACTCCAGAGACCAATTAATTGGAAGAAAGAGACACAAAATGAGGCAGAGCCAAATGTGGAAGATGATTCCATCTATTTTGTGCCATGGTCTCCTCTGTCCTTCAATCTGGCTATCAGTTATTTGGCTATGTGCAGAACCTACTGGCAGTAAATGCCGCTTGTCCTCCTGGATATGGATGACTGGGCCAGGATGCCTAACAGTGACTAGCACACAGTAGGTACTCAGTCAGTATTCCCTGAATTGGAATGATGAATAGAGGCACACTCACCCCTCTTCTGCATAAAGACGAAGAGGTCATCCAGGAACTCTTTCCTTTCAGGATCACCGTCCAGTTCATACAGCTGCAATCCCAATCCCCCAAGAAAAACACACAATGAAAAATTCCATCTTGCTGAGTCTTATACCAGATACACTATGACCATCTGAATCACTACAAATGCAACTCACTGGCTACTTCTGTCCTTATTTCTCGGGGATCGGCTATAATAAGCCAGAACTGCCCCTATCTATAATCACAAAGGAAATATTACAGACCTTGGCAAAATCTCGAGAGATCTCTCTTCCCCGGCCTCCATCTGCATCATCACTCCAGGCCAAACCACCATTCTAAAAGGGAACAAAACAAAGTCGAGAGGGGCAAAGGAAGAGAAAGAGTTAGGATAGAGGGCAAGGAAATCATTTAGAGCAAAGATGAAGATGCTGAGCAATTGTGCTGTCCTCACTCACATTTAAAAGACAACTCAGAAGACTGATTCTGCCACCCTCATGGGGTGACATCTTTTTTTTTTTTTTTTTTTTTGCTTTCAATTTGGTTACAAAATAAGAGGGCATTGGGTGGAAGAATCATCTTCATTTGTTGGAGAATGGTGGGTGTCATTTATACTTGACAATCCTGGAAGAGGAAGACACAAAGGCCCACGTTGCTTAGAATGGGCTCATTCCCAGCTGACCCCCAGAAGCCATCACTCTGAGATATACCACTTTCCTGCAGACTAAGACACCTAGCCTGGTTTCCTACACAACACTCTAAGTGATAAGGGTCAAAGTGAGCAGGACACATACATTCTGAAGTCCTGGTCTCTCAGCCAGGCCTCACCATTCACCTGAGCCACATGGCAAGAACCCATGGTGATACAAGGGCCACCACGGCTTGAGATTGCTCCCAAGGTATAGCCTGTCCACTAGGGCGAGAGTTCATTTTTATTAGAGAAATAATGAAAACCTAAGCCTAATCTAATTGATTGGGTTGAAGCAACACCATTCAACTAGGAAGGGATGGGAAATACTCTTTCAACTTGCTTCCTACCTTTATTCAGTCCAGTAACTCCTATGCCTCAAATCAGGGATCCCTTCTGTGGGAAGCCTTCCCTTCAACCATGGCTACACTAAGTACTCTAGAAGCAATCTCTGTTCATTTCTAGCGTAGACTTTAACATATTACTTGGGAAGTGTCTGTCATTCCCACCATATGATAAGCTCCTTGAGAGCAAAGGTGTCTTATTTTTCTTTGTCCTCAGGCACATAGCACATTGCCTGGCACACCAACTAAGCACCTCTTCAAAAAATATACACACACCTTACGGGGGTCAAAACGTCTTTGTACTAGTGAGGGTATGAACTCTCATAGTATAATTCTGTTGTTCACCCCAGACCTGCTGGTCAGTTGGAGGTCCCAGTGGCCTGTGCGCACTGAACCTGTCATATTCATTTCTCCCCCAGGACCACAGGCACATGTGCACCACGCCACCCAGCTGGCTGAGGTACGTATGTGGTGAGAAAAGGATGTGTGGGGCTGGGGAGCAGTGGTTTCTTGGGAGAACATTCTTTGAAATCTTCTTCTAAAACCACGTCAATGAAATAAAAGCCTGGTTGAATTCCATTCTCTTCCATCTCCCGCTTTAATAAAGCTCGTCTGAAAGCAGGAGGCATTATGCAGTTGTATTTTGGAGCCATACTTTGTTTCCCCTATTCAAAGTGGGCTCTAGGATGCAAACCCACTTTCTTTTTTTTTTGAGACAGAGTTTCGCTCTTGCTACCCAGGCTGGAGTGCAATGGCGCAATCTCGGCTCACTGCAACCTCCGCCTCCTGGGTTCAGGCAATTCTCCTGCCTCAGCCTCCTGAGTAGCTAGGATTACAGGCACATGCCACCGTGCCCAGCTAATTTTTTGTATTTTTAGTAGAGACGGGGTTTCACCATGTTGACCAGGATGGTCTCGATCTCTTGACCATCCACCCGCCTCAGCCTCCTGAAGTGCTGGGATTACAGGCGTGAGCCACCACGCCCGGCTGAAACCCACTTTCTGATAGCAATGTGGCAAACAGCAACATAAGTATAACCAAGAAGTGACACTCTGTCCGTTGAGATGAAACAGGCTATACCAAACTGCTCCCTGCTTATCTAGTAAAAGCCGTGTGTATGGAAGTGCTCGGTATGCCATCTGACCGTGCATTCATCATCTCCCAAGGCAGGCATTGTTGGATCCCTTCCTACGGCACCTTCAGCTCAGGGTAGCCAATAACCAGGCGGGAGGAACATTGTTTAAAAAGGAAAAAAAAAAGCTAAAGCTCATCCCACATTGTAATTACAGTCACCAGAAATCTGGTGTCATCTGGTGGCAACTAGCACAATGAATAATCAAGATGAATTATCCCTGTCAGGTCAGCAAAACTAGACAGAGTTACATTCCCCCTTTCAAAGGATGCAGTAGGTTGCCCTAATGCCCAGTGATTTTGTTTGAGCCAGTAATTCCTGCTGGAAAGTCAATTATCCCGGGAGCCTCTATCGGCTAAAAGACATTAAATGGGGGGATCATTGCCGCTTCTGTTATGTCAGCTGTTTACTACGGCAGCTCAATTCCCAACTCTCTGGCCAGAGCTCTGAAGCTGATCTCAGTTCACAGAAGGATTCTTTCTCTATCAGTCACCAAAAGAGATGAAAACACCATTTTCTTTTTTTGCTAATTATAGTAACTTCCAAGCACTCTGAATGCTCACTCAAAAACTATTTAACACTCAGTTAGGTGGAAAGCATGGAATCCACAACCTAAGAAGTCAGCCGGGCCTTTCCACAGCAGGAGAGCAGTGTGAAAACAAGCACGCTAGTGTGACCACTATGTGACTATGTGTGAAAATAAACACCCAAGTGCGAGCACTCAGCTCCAGGCATGGAGAATGCCTTGGCAGGATGGGGGCTGGGGCTGGTAGGGTCCTCGTGGCTTCTCTGGCTTTGTCCAACCTTTAAGAGAATCCGGGCAGTGGGATGCTAAGGCCTTGTGCAGAGCCCACTAAGTGTGACCCACTTAGCTTGAAATGCCTCCAGCTTGCTGACCACAGAGGTCAAGAAGACTTGCCAGAGCAGGAAAGCAAAGAAACCTAGCTCTCTAAGTAATCCCACTGTTGGACCCATTCCACAGATAGGAAATGTCAGTTACTCCATTTATAAAAAATGTGGGGAAAACAGTTGCCCAGAGAGGAGGTATTTTCGTTTGTCCAGCTCCAAGGCAAGGATGGTCCATTCAGCTGGGGCTGATGGAGAGACGTTTATTACATTCTTTGTCTGAAGGCAGTTAAACTTCGATCCTGCTTCACAGGATTTTCTGGCTGACGTGAGAGTAATTCCTCAGCCCTGCCTGCCATTCGCAATCTAGCAGAGCCTCCTGCCTCTGCCCACTAAGAGATTCAATGCCTTTCTCCTCTGGGCTCTATCACCCAGGTTTAGTTAGTTACTTGTCTGCATTATCTCCAGCCCTGATCACATGGACAGCACTGACTGGCTGGGCACGGTGGCTCTTGCCTGTAATTCTGGCCCTTTAAGACCAACCTGCGCAACACAGGGAGACCTTCTCTCTCTCTTTTTTTTTTGAGACAGAGTCTTGCTCTATTGCCTAGGCTGGAGTGCAGTGGCATGATCTTGGCTCACTGCAACCTCCGCCTCCCAGATTCAGGCATTCTCCTGCCTCCGCCTCCGAAGTAGCTGGGACTACAGGTGCATGCCATTACACTGGATTAATTTTTGTATTTTTGGTAGAGAAGGTTTTGCCACGTTGGCCAGGCTGATCAGGGAGACTCCATCTCTACCAAAAAAAAAGAGGAAGCACCAACACATCTGCTAAAAGACAGAGATGGGCTCCCCTGTGGGACCTCCAACCCCACAGCTCCTCTGTCTTCCCTTTCCCCTTTCATGGGGTGGGTTACAGGCTTAACCAGTGCTTTTCTTGGTTCTTAACTCTGATCAACTGCTGTAAAACATGGCTCACTTATGCAATTCAAGTTTGTGTGCTGGAGGTTTCTTGACCTATCAATAGGGTATGGGTGTGACTACTAGAAAATTATCAGTCCAGAAATTATTTTTTCTTGGATGCTGACTGTGGCTGAGACTGTAATGGTGGAAGAAAGCAGGTAACAGCAGAGGCAGATGGAGTGTGAGGAAAACACACCCAAAAAGAAACAGCTCAACATTTTAGGGATCGAGAGGCCGATGAAGAAAGCATTTCAGTTGAAGGTTTGCTGCATGCAAGTTTAACCTGCCCAGAGAACAGGCTTTGTTACCCCATTGGCAGGAGGCAGCAGTATTAAATAGCCCAGAAATGTGTGTAGGAAGTCAACAGTAGCCGGAGTGGCCACTCGCTGCCATTTACAGCCTTCTCAGCCTCTCCTACTTGAGAACTGTCTTTCAACATCTTTGATCTCACCAGGAGCTCACAGGAAACCGATAGTTTGGTCCCAAATACACACCCAAGACTAGCTTTGGCTACTATACCCACATTTAGCTAATTTTCCCCAGGAAAAGAAGGTTGGGGGAAAGAGAAAAGTAGCAGGAAGCTAATGTTTGTGTGCTTTCTGCATACCAAGGATTGGACCAGGAGCCTTACAAGCATTTCCTCATTTAATTCTATAATGTAGAGGTGGTTATTTTAGAATTGGGAAAACCATGGCTCAAAGAGCTCAAACAACCTGCTCAGGGTCTCATAGTTTCTTAGTGACAGTGCCAGGATGTAAACCCAGGTCTGGCTGGCTCTCTCTGTTACACTATGCTGGTTTCAAAGAATAACACTAAGTGTTCTGGGGGGAGGGGGGGAATCAGGAAGGGAGAAAGGAAGAAAAAGAAGTGAGAATAAAATCCTCTGTCCATAGAAGCCTGAAATGCCCAAGTCATGGCGCTGGGCAGCTCCTATCAACGGGAGATTCTTTTCATCCTTGCTTTATCCCATGGCTGTATCTGGGCACTTTATGAAAACCAGCCCTCACATAATCCTTGCCCAGGAGAGTTATCTGGGGATACCGAAATAAGAATTGATAACTTTTTACCCCTGCCTCCAAAATAGACCATTCCAGTAGAATGAGCCCCATCTTCCCCCAGAAGACAGAGATCAGGGGAGAGGGAGAGAGAAAGAGAGAGGAGGGTTACACCTCTGAGTGCACCAGAGGAAGATGGCAGCTTACACTGTGACATGTACAATAGGCCTTCAAAAATAATGAATAAAGGTCTAACCTGACTGCTACTCAAAATCAGAACAGTGCTTCCCTAGCATCTCAACCCCGGAACCCATTTTAACAGCACACAGGGGAAATGAACAGACTCACTATCTTTGAAAATCTAAAGGTA